AAATTATCAATGTCATCACATTCAAAATTTTTAAGGGTTTTATTTTCATCACATACACATCCATTAAAAGTATAGACTGATTCATTTAATACAGATTCCAATTTATCTAATAAACTCTAAAAATTATATGTACAATAGTGTAATAGCCTTTCATAGTAAAAATATGTTTAAATATATAAATACATACGTYACGAATAGAAAAYAATGCTTTTGGTCCACCACCTACATTTATTCTTTCTAATGCTCCAAAATTAAATGTTCCGATAAGAGTTACCCAATCATTATTGAATGTACCAAAAACTGTATCTACGGCCTTGTAAGTAGTTTTTTCAGTACCATTTAAACGGTTGAAATCAACTGAGTAACAATATGATCTAAAAATTTAAATATAAATATTATGATACAAAAATATATATTTAAATAACTATTGGATTTACAATATTTACTTTTTGTTGACAGTTGAATAGTTTAAAATTAAGTAATTCCATGTTTCATTGGTTTTTTTGTACAACATATTTGCATTTAATTCATTATTAAATTCATAAAAATCAATATCTATTGGTTGAATACTTTTCAAATCTTGTGGAACAATAAAAAATAAACCAAGTACATGTGAACCTCCTGGTAATAATGTTGCTACCTACATTATAATATATAAATACATAAAATATATTTATTTACTTAATAGTAAATACTTTATTTAAATCTTTCAATAATATTTAGAATCCTTATTATATTACTTCTAAAGACTTTTGGAATATTGTATCACTATTGGCTAAAAGATCAGAAAGAGTTTTGTAAGACAGAACATCAATTTTATTATTTTGTATATCTTCATTCCATATGGTCATTGCTGATAAATGGACAACATGATAGTTGTTACCTATGACCTAATTAAAAAATGTAAATGAATAAATTACTTGGTAAGTATAGGTACAWACAATTAATAAAATAACTTAAGTAATTAAGTAATAACTCACTTGTCCAATAATTACTCCTGGAATGAACAACTGTCCTTTAACTAAACTTTTCAGATAATTATCTAAATGTTCTTCAATAAATACTTTGGTTGTCATTTTCCAACTGATAAACACAATCCGTTGTTATTTTTCAAAATTCTAAACCAACAATATTTACTCAATATAAATAATAAATAATTATCAGAACATAATAATATTTATATTTTACGTGTCTTACATAAATTGAATGTTTACTTTACTGAATAAAGAATAAAAATGTACAATATAATGAAATGATAATAGTTGGTAAAGACACTACCTAAAACWACTAAGAGTCTTCTAATGAAATTATGAAATTGTTATATTGTGGTCTTGTTTAWAATGCATAATTRAATTTTGGCTATCTTGAATCTATATTATATTCTAKGTTTAAATAATTTATTAAGTAAAACAATTCAATATTKTTATATATTTGTCTTAATACAATAGAACTCAGACTTAGATCATATACTAGTATATGATCTAAGTWCTCAGATATAGATATTAGATAATTRACTATAATATAATATTATCTGTAACAATATATTACAATAAAAATTAAATAACATACCTTATACGTTATGCTTATGCCTATTACCTATAGGCTATAATGCTTTAATCCACGGTTATCCTCAATATTTTATAGCATAACACAACACACAATCAATACAATATATCTATAGATAATAATACATAAATATATATCTTTAATCGTGCTATAATCAAAATAAGGTCTCTATTCAAATTTCATCAGGTATTTTTTTGTGCTGATGTGGTAGTAGTTTTGTAACGAGTGCTGGATGCCTGGACAACCAGCTGGTCTGTTGGTAGATAGTAATGAGTAGTAACGTCGTACACAGCGTCACACTGGTAATAGACTTGGACTTCAGTCTATCGTGGAAWTTGAAAGTCAGATGTAGTACGTACTACGTAGGRTGTTAAGGTGTAACGTATTTAAGTACTAAATGTCATCTACTTGTCCATTTAGTTCAATAAGTTTTAATAAGAATAGTAWAGTAAATTTATGGCGTAAAATCAAGATTAATGATACATCTTTGATTGTGCGTAAAATCGAAATGAAAGTATGATAGATAATCGATAATAGAAGCACGGACTTGGGATTTGAATACGTCTATTTTTTTTTTTATAGAATCGTATAAGATTTAAATGTTAAGGGCTCGAACTACGATATAATCTAACGTGGGGCGTTGACTTGATCTTTAATCGTAATAATTGCATAGGGCTGAGCATTTGATATTTTGATAATATGACTGCACACGTTATTGAAAAAATTGATAAGAGTTATTTACGCCACCCACAGAGGCTGTGTTTACCACAGAAATGGTACATCTTGATTTATGCATAAATAATAATATAAACGTAATATCTCATATCGAAAATAGTTCTATATTGATTWATTGATTATTATATTATTTCTATTATTTTTCCCACGACTTATTATTTATCCATCAGTTATTCCTAGACAAATTCTGCCCTGAATAGTACAGGTACAGGTAATTATTATCTTGATTTTTACGCGGGCCCAATATATTCAGTGGAATTACACAAATATATTTCAACCACGTATAGATAATATTTTTTAATGAATAATGATAATCACAAAGCAAATAGCAATTATATTATGATTTTACGGATTCGTTTAGTCCATGATGGTCATAAATAGTAAAATATCATGACTAATTAATTTGAATTTATCTACCTTATATCATGTTCATGTACTCACAGTGGCGTGGCCAGAAATTTTCGATGGAGGGATGTTATGAATAATTATATATTTTACAATAACTTTTTGTTAATAACAACTTAGTAATTTCTAATAAAAAGTATTAATAGTAATGACTCTAAAACAGCTCTTATAAGTTATAACTAATAAGTTGTTTTCTGTATGTCGGAAAATAAAGACAATGCCGGATATAACCCCTAATCGCCCACCCACAGCACGCCACTGTGTACTCATGTGTGTGATATGCGTAGAAAACTAATAAATACCTGGTAATATGAAGATAATGAACCAGGGCCAGGCGGCCAGCCAGACGATTTCAGTCRGTCATGATCAATATTTTACCGGCCCATTAATACCAAACAAATAACTAACAATATATAGTCCACGCATCAGTGGCGTATTAAGGGGGGTCATCTCCTCTTGACATTTATGGTTGGTACCGACATAACTAATTAGAATTTAAGAGGGAGTGTTTAAATATTATTATTTTTTGTAACCCCTTCCTCCCGAAATTAATTTCTAAATACGCCACTGCTACGTATACGCATCAATAAATTTACAAATTATTAAACATAATATATTAAATTTAGGTAGGTATATAAATATAGTTAATGATTCATTAAATTTTGTATTTTAGTTCAACTATCCATTTGCTATAGAACGTTAAAATTTACTTAAAAATTCAGTTTCTTGTTACTAGTAAATTCACATCTTATTTTTTTATATTAGATAATAAAATAAAAAGTATTAAGGTTTCCCTGTGATAAACTACTACGTAAATTGTTTGAAATTTATTTTAATCTTGAAAAATAGTTTCGGATCGAACTTSGGCACACATGTTAGGGCTAAAATTAATTCAATAGCTAGATTTATAAATTTCCATAATATGCTATTAAGTATAAGTTATATTTCGTTAAAACAAAAACACTGCATGTAATTCAATTTTTACAACATCTATAAGCTTGTTTTGACTTTTAAAGAAAATGGTTCTGCAAACACACATATGAAGAACCCGAGTGGTCCATCCGGGAACTGGTGGCAGACGACAGTCCAAGGCACCGGCTGGTACTAGCTCTCACCGCTCTTGGACACATTTTGTGATTGTCATAGGGATGGGAAATTCAACTAATTCTACCGAGTCGAATCGTTCAACTCAGCTCAGTTATTAATGAGTCGACTCACAACTTGTTTATTCTATTCAACTTCTCTTGAGGCTTGACTCCAATACTGGCATACTCGCAATACTCCATAGATATTAGATAATAGATAATAGATATTAATGGTTCATGGATAAACGTTAACGTTATCAGATCATGATTTAAAAATCTAGGTAATTAATAATATTATTATTTATGACATGGGTTGATATTAAAATTTTAAATAAATATTGTTTTTCGCCTCTATGATTGGGCCAGGTTTGAAATGTCTGAAAACCATTAACGCGGGTTAGGAATAATTTTTTTAAAGGTATTTAAAACAGTATTTGCAATTCAGACTGCTAGTAACTACAACTAGCTATTTATTGTTTTATAAATTTAGTGGATTACAATATAATAAATAAAGCTCGGAAATTTATGCACTAAAAAGTACTATAATATGCGGTAAAATATGCAGTAAAAAATTTGAAAATATACAAAACTATGCAATTTATTGAGAAAATACATTTAACATACAATTTTTAAAAATTTATAATATGGTACAAATTAATAAAGTGGTGAATTTGAATCACGGAAAAAAACCCCCCAAAAAAAATCCCATGGAAAAAAACCCAAACAAAAAGTACACCCCGGAAAAAAAGCCCATGCATAAAAATATATTATACATAATATATTTACATTTATTTATAGATACATATTTTAAATAATATACATATAGTATTTAAATCATTTTTTTTAAACTTTTTAACTTCAGTTAAATTTTGTATTGTTTTAACTTAGCTTTTTATCATTATTGTACAGTTAAGTTAATTTACAAGTAAATCGTGTGATTTGGGTACTTAAGAGGACGTTTTACCCGCATGTGTTGTCTCCGTCTTACAAGTGTGTACATTGCAAAAACTGTTTCACACGGGAATAAAAACCGAGAAAGATACAGTTATAACTAAGAAACGAAATTTTCATCACATAAAAAGGAGAATTTTGTCTGTGCAATATTGTTTTTATTTTTTCGATATCACTTATACAAAAAAAAATCTTATTGTTTTATAATACATTAATTTTGAGTTTTTTAAGTATGAATAACTTTTTTTGTAGTTCCGATATCGAAAAAATAAAAACGATATTGCACAGATAAAATTCTCCTCTTTATGTGGTGAAAATTTCGTTTTTTAGTTATTACTGTATCTTTCTCGGTTCTTTCCGGCGCAAAACAGTTTTTGCAATGTTRCGCACTTGTAAGACGGAGACAACACATGCGGGTGTAACGTCCTCTTAAAGGTAACACCAGCGTGTAGCCGAATCAACTTTATATTTTTTTCAAAT